GTCTTGACTTTCCTACCATCTAGAAGTTCTGTAACGACACAGTTTTTGTTTCCCTCTTTATGGTTTGTAGTTGTTCTCATTCGTCACTTGATATATCTGGTTCCCTGTTTACAATCTTGTAGGCTTATTTACTTTGGATACTTCCATAGCTGGGCTGGTTTCTGAGTTATATCATCTTGTGTGTTAATGGTCAGTTGTCGCTGGCTGTTGTTGCTTCTCTGTCCAAATGACTCCCTTTAGTATCTCTTGTAAGGTTGGTCTGGTTTTAACAAATTCCCTTAATTTCTGCTTATCTGACAATGTCCTAATTTCACCATCATATTTGAGGGACAATTTTGCTGGGTACATAATTTTTGGTTGAAAATTTTTCTCTTTCAGTGTTTTATATATACCATCCCACTGTCTTCTTGCCTGCATGGTTTCTGTTGAGAAATCTGAGCTTAGTCTTACTGGTTGCCCCTTGTAGGTAACTTTTTGTTTTTCCCATGCTACTCTCATGATTCTTTCTTTGTCTTTGGTTTTGGTGAGTTTGATGATGATATATCTGGGTGATCTTCTTTTGGGGTTTATCCTGTTTGTGGTTCATTTGACTTTCTGAATGCATATATTTTCATCTTTCATCATACCAGGAAAATTCTCTTCCAACAAATCTTTGATAATTTTCTCCATGGCTTAACTTGTGTCTTCCTGTTCTGGAATTCCGCTTACATGTGAGTTATTCCTTTTGATGGTGTTCCACATGGACCTTAGGCTTTCTTCATTCTGTGTTGGTCTTTTTTTTTGATTTATCACTTTCCAAAGAAGTGGTCAGGTATTTGCCTTCAATCTCCCTAATTCTGTCTTCCATTGAGTCAATTCTGCTCCTTTGCCCATTCAATGTCTTATCTATTTCTGAAAATTTAGTATTAATTTTCTGGATTTCTGTGTGTAGATTTTGTATCATTTCTAATTTTTCATTTATTTTGTAATTTTGTTCTTGTATTGTCTTTTGAAATTGTTCTAGAGTTTTCTCTATGTTTTTCGTGATCTGTCTCTCAATTTGTTGAAGATACCTAAATATAATTCTTTTTAATTCCTTATCAGAGAGTTCCAATGCTGTGTCTTCCTCAGGGATGTGTTTTGGTTTTGTATCCTGGTCCATTGTTTCTCCTGCTTTATCTTGCTTCTTTGTGTGGACTGTGATGCTCTGTTGTCTCTGAGGCATTGTAACGTTTTTGTGTTTATATTTAATTGATGATTGTATGTTGGAGTGGATTGCCCACGATTTTCGTTTTCTTTGTTTTGTTTGTATGTTATCTACACAAACAGGTTACTGTGCTGTGTTCCCCTGTTTGCTAGTGGGCAGCACTTATACACTCACCACCTGTCTCCTTTCCTGTTGTCAACCTCTTGTATGTCCCTGCCGCCCTTGGCAAATAGAGCCTATTACTAGATCCCTGGAATCTGAATGAGGATGCTATCACTTTAAAATCCAAAATGGTTGCCACTCGTAAACATTCAAAATGGCTGTACCCTTGGTTATTTTAAACACCCAAAATGGCCACTGCTTGTAAATATTCAAAATAGCTGCACTCTCAGTCACTTTAAATATCCAAATGGCTGCCGCATGTAAACAATAAAAATGGCTGCACCCCTGGACAGTGGAAAGTCAACAGCTCAGGTTACCTTCTACCTTGCTGTTTCCCTTCCTAGTCATAGGTCACCAGCGCATTCATCCCTGAAGCCCCTGGTGACCAAGGCTGATCTTTTTTAGGTCAATTCTCAGGTCCCAATACCACTTGGAACTATTCAGGTTGTTGGTCCTGCTGGAGTAGCTGACAGTCCACAGCTCTGACCATCTCTGTACTCACTGTTTTCATTAAGGTGTTTCCACTAGTTGGTGCCTAATCCACTTCTGTGTAGTTCCTTTCAAAAGTCAGGGCTCCAGGATTATCTTCTGTATCTCTATCAATTGGTTTTTCTTTTCATTGTTGAAGAAGGTCTGTGTCTCTTGTCCGCCTATTCCTCCATCTTACCAGAAGTCTCTATTCATAAACTTTTCCAGTTTTATTTCAGACAATGTTTCACTGATATTCATAAGGTTTACAGTGGCCAATTTTTTCAGAAGTGGATATCTCCATCCTTCTTCTCATTGTGTCTTATTCTAGAAGCTCTGCTGAGACCTGTCCATAATGTGTGACCTTGCTGGTATTTGAAATACCAGTAGCATAGCCTCTAGCTTCACAGCAACATGCAAGCTACCACAATATGACAAACTGACAGACTAGTGGTGGTAGCTATCATTGCTGATATCAGAGGGATCTTGGCTGAAAGCAAACAATACCAGAAAGAGGTTTACCTGTGTTTTATGGACTATGCAAAGGTATTCAACTATGTGGATCATAACAAATTATGGATAACGTTGAGAAGAATGAGAATTCCAGAACATTTGTTTATGCCTTTATGGGACCTTTACGTAGACCAAGAGGCAGTCATTCCAACAGCTCAAGGGGACAATGCAGAGTTTAAAATCAGGAGGGATGTGTGTAAGGGTCGTATCCTTGTTCAATTCACATGCTGAGCAAATAATCTGGGAAGCTGGACTATATGAAGAAGAATGCAACATCAGGATTGGAGGAAGACTCATTAACAACCTGCGATATGCAAATGACACAACCTTGCTTGCTGAAAGTGAAGATGACTTGAGTACTTACTGAAATCAAAGACTATAGTCTTCAGTATGGATTACACCTCAACAAAGAAAACAAAAGTCCTCACAACTGGATCAATAAGCAACATCATGATAAATGGAGAAAAGATTGAAGTTGTCAGGGATTTCATTTTCCTTGAATCCACAATCAACACCCATGGAAGCAGCAGCCAAGAAATCAGATGTCATATTGCACTAGGCAAGTCTGCTGCAAAAGACTTCTTTAAAATGTTGAAGAGCAAAGATGTCACTTTGAAGACTAAGGTCCACCTAACTCAAACCATGGTATATTCAATTGCTTCATATGTATGTGAAATCTGGATAATGAATAACCAAGGCCAAAGAAAGGTTGATACCTTTGAATTATGGTGTTGGCAAAGAATATGGAAAATACCACAGACTGCCAGATTATATCCGTCATCAAATGCCCATGGAACCAGCAGTCAAGAAATCAAACAACATATTACATTGGGCAGATCTTCAGCAAAAGACTTCTTTAAAGTGTTTAAAACTGAAGATGTCACTTTGAGGTCTAGGGTGCACTTGACCTAAGCCATGGTATTTTCATTCATCTCATATGCATGCAAAAGGTAAACAGTGATTAAGGAAGTTGGAAGAGGAATCTGATGCATTTGAATTATGATGTTGGCAAAGAATTGAATATACCATGGCCTACCAGAAGAACAAACAAATCTGTCCCAGAAGAAGTACAGCCAGAATACTCCTTGGAAGCAAGAACAGACAGATTTCGTCTCACCTACTTTGGTCACATTGTCAGAAGGGATCATTCCTAGAGGAGGATATCATGCTTGGTAAAGTAGAGGGTCAGCAAAAAAGGAGAAGGCCCTCAATGAGATGAATTGACACAGTGGTTCCAACAATGGGATCAAGCATAGCAAGGATTGGGAAGCTGGTGCATGACCAGGCAGTGTTTCATTCTGTTGTACGTAGGGTTGCTATGATTCAGAGCCAACTTGTTGGCACCTAACAATATAACAACAACCATGTCCTAAATCCTATGCTGTGTGCTTTGTTTTCATATCATTTTAATCTTCAGGCAAAGGAGAACAGTAGAGATACACTAAGAAAATAACCCAAAGGAGACAATACACAGAAATGCCTCTGGAAGTAGGTCTGGGTTTTGTTTAATTCAGGAAGAGCTTTTCCTGCTAGCAATAAAGGAAGAAGTAAAATTAAGTGTTACAGAGTCACACACTGGCTTCCAGATATCTCCTCAAATACCTTGGGTGGGTGGGTGAGCTATGGAAGGGTGGTTTTTAGGAGTGCTGCAGAGTTGAGCAGCTTTCCTACTTCTACTAAAATTAAAATGTCAAGGCTAAGAGGGACTCTTGTGGCAAGTCCAATTTCCTTGTGAAATACACAAGAGGACTGGGTCCAGAGAGGTGGCCAAGGAGCATTTTGGATGTCATAGAACGTCTGGAGGCTGGGTAGCATTCTTGGTGAGGGGAGGGAAACTTAGGAACTTGGTTTTGTGAGCCAGAGGATGCACCAAATACTAGTGGGAAAGTGGGAGTGGAGTGGGGGTGAGGAGGATTATAAAGATTCTGGATACCTCTTAGTAACAGAGCTCACATTTCCTGATAACTCTTGGGGCCATGACAGAATTCTGCCAGCTTAGATGGGCTTCATTATGGGTCAGAGGAGTTGAACAAAGATGACAACTGATGATCATCATTTGGGGATATCAGTCACATTTCCTCACCAGTAACTCATTTAACTATATTTATAAGGACAATGGGCTAAAGAAGAAAATTCAAGAGCTCAGGAGAGGGTTACTGGCCAAATAGAATCCTCAAGAAAAGTCATCAGGCTACTTGTTTGAAATCTTAGGGCTTTCTTTCTTTGGTCCAACAATATTCTCATCTGCCCATTCTAGGCTGTATCTAAAGAGCTATGTCCCTCTATGATAACAGCTGTGGGGATTCACAGTTAATGCCAGCTCATGACATGAGAGAGTGGCCCCTTCAGGATTGTATATAGAGTATGTATGTACCTTCTCAGGGCAATCAGGTGAAACAGATCAATTTTAAAAACTGTGACTATCTCAGCTGAATTATATGGATTAGCTGCCTACTTTTACTGAAGAAACACCAATTAGCCACATGTGACATTAATTTTTGAAGTGTACCTCAATTAAAACAAATTCAAAATATGAAAGTCAGTGATATATCATTGTATGTCTCTGATTAGCAATCCTCCTTCATGTATTAAGATTATGAGTTGACATATTATTGGCATTTAGCTTTTCAGAATCACAGCCTCTGTGAAACAGACAATTGAGCAGGCTTACCTCCGTGTTGTCTCTGTTTTAGAAGTGTCAGGCAGGGATGACAGAATCAGTGACTGGAACTTCTTCCAGTGCATTACGCCAGGAATAATATCCTGTAGTGAAAGTCAGCACAGACACTAAGTGCAAGGGAATTGGTTAATGAGGTAAAATCTAGCAAAAACTTCCTTTTCATTCAGTTGTACTACTTTTTCAATCTTAAAAGCTTCGTTCAAAAGTCTATAATTTCATTAAGTTTGACTTAATTTTTCTAAAGCCAAAAGACAATTGCACCAGAAAAGAACATTAAACAAGGCAACACAGAATTATAGCAGGGAAAAAGAAGAGTGTTTTACTCCTTCATCAAGCACATTTAGGCACAATATATCCTTGTGATGAAAGGCAGATTCGGCTTTTCAATCATTTTGATTATGTGTGAATGCAATGCCAATGCAATGTTCATAAAGGATGGATAGTTCATCAGATGGTGCTCCAGGCCAGGGAACTGTGAGTGCAAATGCTTGGCATCATGCTGGAAGGCACTGTCAGGAGACTCCTTAGCTCAGTGGAGTACAGGGAGTGGTGGGGACTGATGAGAAAAGCAGATCCTGAAGGGCCTTGTGGACCAAGCAAATGAGATTGGAGCTACTCCTGAAGGTGGCAGAGACCCACTGCAGGCTTTTAAGCAGGAAAATGACATGATCATATTTGCATCATTGGGAGATCTATAGAGGGCCAATGATGGCTGCGTGGCCATGGAGTGGAGCAGTGGGGGTGGATTCACATGCTGTGTAAGAGGTAGACTGGTGGAATCAAGGGATATTCAGAAGAGGGAGGGATCAAGGGAGACAAGGCTAACTGCACAAGTTAATAGAACAAAATGGTAACTAGGTAATACAGGAAAAGCAGGCAGTTCTAGGTGTGGTGGGTAGAAATGAGTTTGGAATTTTTGAGTTTGAGGGGCCTGAGAGCAGTCCCCAAAAGATGTCCTGCTGTATCTGAATATTCAGGTCAGGTTCACCCAGGAGAGGAAGAATTCTTTTGGAGTCACTTTCCCTACTGTGTATCTGTCATACCACCACCGTCTATCCCTGTTTCTACGATTGGTTAGGTCAAAGAAAGTAGTCAGACAGACCATGGGGTTATGCTGGCCATATGACCATTCTGACATGGTAGAAATATGAATAAAATGAACCTTAGGAGGAACCTTCTGGGGGAAAAAAAAAGAGTCTGTTGCAAAAGGGCAACCATAGTGAGACGTGGGTTTAGATAGACTAGAGGTGTTGAGTCACTTCTGTCCTCTAGGGCTGGCAGTATGGGCACATGCAAAAGCTGCAGCTGTTACCATTCTTATTGTACAGCTGCAGTTAAAACCCTTTTTCTCAGTTCCCACTGTGACTCCCCCCCTTATCCCTTGCCCCTCCCTGACAGCATTACCATGTGATGGAGAAACTGCTTTTGGGTGAGAGGAATGCTGGACCCTTCATGGACCTCTCTGGTGAACTTGTACTTGGGGTGTGGGCAGAGATGGTAATCTATTATAGTTTCTGGGTAGGTCAGAGGGTGCATCACAGCGAACAATCCTGGGTTGGGATTCTATAGATAAGAGAAGAAAAAAGTAAGATTATTTTTTTGTTTACCACTTTTTAAGCCAGGCACCGGAAAGGCATCAGATATTCTTTATGGTACCCATTAGCACTAACTAACATGCCACCATTCCATGTCATCTCATCTGAGGAAGAGAAGCAGGATAACAGTGATATCTTCAAATTAGCAGGGTTTTAAATTGTCACAATCATTTGTAAATGTCACTTTTCTATTTTAGGAGCTTTATGACATGCCTGAGGATTTACTAAGCTCACTTGAAAACAAATAAAACTGAAATGACAGTGTCAAATGGCTTAAGTATTTGTTTCTGAATTTGATGGATTAGGGGAATGATTAAATAAGCAAACTGGCTTTAAAAAGCAAATAAGCTTCTGGTTTTGAAAACAAAATTAGCTTCTTAAAAATCATTTTAAAGAGAAGACAAAGAGGATGACATTTGACATGACAATATTTAACAATGTTTTGGCAATGTTCTTAACTTAGGAAGGCTTCATTTGGATGTAATGTCTGGGTTTTAGAGATATCCTGTTTTTTACTAATTTTCCAGCAAAACTGATGGAGACACAAAATAATTATTTCAAAATACTGAAATAGAAAGCTTTTTAATGTTTCTTCCAGGGTTTGTGCAACAAAAACTTATCCTGTCCCAAACAACAACATAAATAACTTTTCTTCCCCCTCACAGTTTTTAATCACAGATGTTTAAGAACCACAAAACTGAGTTTTTTGTTTTGTAATTTGCTTATTTGTGTGATATTTTAAACAACAGTAAAAAAAAAAATCCAGATGATTTATGGAAACCCAATTTTACTGTCAAGAAACAACCTAAAGGAAATGAAGCTAGACCAAGGGAGGCTTTATAGCACAGATACAAGGGGAGATAGAGCCTGGATATGTTATATGCACTTAAGTGTGATTGTTAGTTAAAAACACTGGAAGGACTAAGCTGTTAGTGCAGAGAAGCAGATCTGCAGCAAGGGCCAAAATGAGGGACTAGGGGAGAGATGAGGAGACAGCTCTTGACTGAACTCATGAACATAAAAGGAGGAGAAAGGTAGGGAGATGATAATATCCACTGAGGGAATTTGTGATATCCATAGTGATGTAGAAACAAGTACACACCTCAGTGAGTCCTTGAAGTTGAGAATGAGTTAAGGTACATATATAAGAAGATAGTGTGATAGGGGATTGGGTAGTAGGGGATGGGGGTTGTAATGGAGCAAGGCGCACAACATGAGGGGAAGGGGAATTGGCCATGTGACCTTCAGAAGCATCTCCTACACTGGTTGGCTGAGGGTGTGTGAAGCTGCCATTGGCTAACTCTCTTGATCTGTTTTGGGCTATGTATGATAAATCAGACCTTTTTGGAAATGGCAACATGATTGTCTTCAGATCTCCTGGGTAGTCATCATTACGAGAAGTAAGTGGTCTGAGTGATCATACTGTTGTTGTTGTTATGTGCCATCGAGCTGGACCTGACTCATAGCAACTCCTCCTTTGGTTGCCAAGGCAGTATCACTATGGAAGTAGATTGCTCAACCTTCCTTCCGAGGAGTGGCTGGTGGGTTTGAACCGCCAGCCTTAGTGATCACACTGATTGTTTTAATTTCATTTTTTTTTTTTTTTAAATAATGCATATATATATTAACAACTCACTGAAGCTGAAAGAATTGTCATGGAAAGTGTTATGAAAACCAAAGCAAACTCACTGCCATTGAGTCAGATTCAACTCATAGCAACCCCTCCTTAGATTTCTGAGGTGGTATCACTATGGAAGTAGATTGCACAATCTTCCTTCTGAGGTGAACGTTGATAGAACTGAAGGGAAAAATAGGTAGTTCCACAATAATAATTCCACCACTCGCCTGTCTGTGGTGGCTTGCATGTTGCTGTGGGCTGGAGGCTATGTCACCAGTATTTCAAATACCAGCAGGGTCATCCATGTTTCAGTGGAGCTTCCAGACTAAGACAGACTTTGAAGAAGGATGGGCCCATCCACTTCTGAAAAAACTGGCCTCTGAAAACTTTATGAACAGCATTGAAATACTGTCTAATATATTACTGAAAAACTTTGTGAGTAGCTGTGAAACATCATCTGATGTAGTGCCAGAAGATGAGCCCCTCATGTTGAAAGGCACTCAAAATACAACTGGGGAAGAGCTGCCTCCTCAAAGTAGAGATGACCTTGATGACATGGACAGAGTAAAGCTTTTGGGACCTTCATTTGCTGATGGGGCACTGTGGTAGTTCAGTTTGTGTGTCAGCTTGGCTGGGCCTGGTTGAGTGGCTGGGCAGCTGGATGTAGTATTCCCCATGATGAGACTGGTAATCAACTCCATGGTGGAATCTACTGTGAGCAGCTGAGTAGTAGGTGCCTTACGGAATGTGGTCTGCTTCCTGTATTTAAGCAGAATGCGGTCTGCTTCCTGTATTTAAGCAGAATGTGGTCTGCTTCCTGTATTTAAGCAGAAGTATTAGAGACCATTGAGAAATGGTCTCTAAGCTTGTGGCATGCTTGGACCCTGCATGTAGCCGTGTCATTGCTCAGCAGCCTGCTATGCTCTGCCGACCTTGGGACTTACAATGGACTTAAGTTAATGGCCTGAAATGTGGTTTGGTAACATCAGGACTGTGTCTTTTCACTTGTCAACCTTGGGGCTTTTCAGCCTCAGCAGCCAGCAGCTGTCTGAGTGAAGAAATGCCTCTAGCTCCAGTGGGCAGGGAGCAGGAGGCAGAGCTGGACCCCAAGGTTGAGGGGCTTTCATCCAGCCCCTACAGCCTGGCACTTTGAACTTGGACTTAAAGCGTCCAATTGTAAGAATAAACTGTTTGTTATGGCCATCCCATTTGTGGTGTATTTCTTGTCAGAGCAACACTAGATGACCAGAACAGGCACAACTCAAAATGGGAAGAAACAGCTGCAAATATTCATTAACAATTGGAATGTAGAATATAATTCATTTCATCTACTTTGGTCATGTTGTCAGAAAGGACCATTCTCTAGAGAAAGGATATCATGCTTGGCAAAGTTGAGGGTCAGTGAAAAAGGGGAACACCCTCAAATGAGATAGATTGACACAGTGGCTGCAGTGATGGGCTCCAGCTTAGTAAGGACTGTGAGGATAGTGCAGGACCAGGCAGTATTTTGTTCTGTTGTACATAGGGTCGCTATGAGTTAGAGCCAACTTGATGACACCTGACAACAATAACAATAATAACTGGTATTCTCTGTTTTCAGCCAAAATCCATCTAACATGAGAAATGATATCCCTGATTCCACGTTTTCTTTGATTTTGGCTTTTATTTCTGGCAGTTCCCTGTCAATATACCGCTGCAACCATTTTTGAATTACCTTCAGTAAAATTTTACTTGCATGTGATATTATGATATTGTTTTGTAATTTCTGCATTCTGTTGGATCATCTTTCTTTTGAATGGGCAAATATATGGGTCTCTTCCAGTCAGTTGGCCTGTCTTCCAAATTTCTTGTTATAGAGGAGTGATAACCTTCAGTGCTGCATTCATTTGTTAAAACATTTCAGTTGTTATTTCTTCAATTCCTGGAACCTTGTTTTTAGCCAATGCCTTCAGTGCAGCTTGAATTTCTTCCTTCAATACCATCAGTTCTTGATCATATGCTACCTCCTGAAATGGTTGAATGTTGACCAACATGTTGACTCTGTGCATTTTTCTTCCATCTTCTTTTAATGCTTCCTTCGTCATTCAATACTTTGCCCATAGAATCCTTCAATATTGTAACTCAAGATTTGAACTTTTTCTTTAATTCTTTCAGCTTAAGAAATGCCAGGCATGTTCTTCCCTTTTGCTTTTCTCATTTAGGTCTTTGCATATTTCATTATACTGGAATGAAAGATATCATTGCTGATGCCAGATGGATCTTGGCTGGAAGCAGAGAATGCCAAGAAAAATATTTACCTGTGTTTTACTGATTATGCAAAAGCATTTGACTGTGTGAATCACAACAAATTATGGATAACATTGTGAAGAATGGGAATTCCAGAACATTTGATTATGCTCAGTGGAACCTGTACATAGACCAAGAGGCAGTCATTTGAACAGAACAAGGGAATACTGCATGGTTTACAATCAGGAATAGTAAGCATTAAGGTTGTATCCTCTCATCATACTTATTAGTGGATAAGGCAATTGACTGCTGACTTAGTGGCACCTAAAACAACAACAGCAATAATTGGAGATTTTAATACAACACTTTTGATAATGGATAGAACATTCAGACAGAAGATAAGGAAGGAAATAGAGACCTTGAACAACACAAAAGCTATCTAGACCTAATAAACATACATAGAACACTCCACTCAACAACATCACAATATACCTTCTTTTCCATAAAGTATCTTTTGTGACCACAATAGAATGAAGATGGAAATAAAAGAATAAAAATGGAAAACCCAGAAACTATGGAGATTAAACAGCATACTCTTAAACAACCAGTGGGTTAAAGAATAAAGTACAAAGGAAATGAGAAAATAACTTTGAGTTGAAGGAAAATGCAAACATTACATACCAAAACTTATGGTATGTAGCAAAAAAAGTGTGCTTTGGGGGAAATTTATAGCTACACAAATTGACAAAGAAGAAAGATCTTAAATAAATTAATTAATTTTCCACATAAGGACATTGAAAAAGAAAGAGCAAACTAAATCTAGCACAAGGAAGGAAATAATAAATATTATAGCAGAGATAAATGAAATAAAGAATAAAAACAATATAGACAATCAATGAAGCCAAAGTTTGGTTCTTTGAAAAGATCAGTAAAACTGGCAAACTATTACATAGGTTCACAGGGAAAAAAGAGAGAAGACATAAATAACTAGAATCAGAAATGAAAGAAGGGACATACTACCAGCCTTACAGAAATTAAAAAAAAAAAAAAGATTATAAGAACATCTGTATAATATAATAAAAGATTATATGAACATCTGTATGCCAATGAATCAGATAATCTAG